TTATGAGCAGCTTTAATGATTTGGTGAACTGGCATGAGTGATTTTTGGAATACCCAGAGGTTCCTCGTCTTCCAGAGCCACCAAAGTAGGTATGTTGTAAGTTGAATTCTGTCTTTGGTAATCTCTGAAGTCCCTAAGGAGCAGATCTGGTGCCACCATACTTTAAATGAGTCAGCAGAGGCAGTGAGTCCATCCCAGTACACAGGAGAAAGTTCCCAAAATCTTTGAGCTCGAGGGCAGGAAAATAGTAAGTGTTCAGTTGTTTCAGGAGCATCACCACACAAAGGACAAGTAGGATCAATGTCCAATCCTCTTTTCCTCAGCTGTACTGCAACTGGAAGTGTTCCAGATATACATTTCCACAAAAAATGTTTTATTTTGCCAAGCACTTTCAAAGACCAGCCCCTGTGGAGAGTTTTCTTGCAGATACCTGAGTTTGAGCTGCTTTCAGGTACATCCATTCTTGCTATCTTCTGCTGTGAAAGGAATTTATAAGTACTGGCAGTGGAGAACAGCCCTTTGGTGTCTAACCCCTAGTGAATTCTGTCCTCTCTGTTGGGGTTCAGAGAGGTGATTCTGAGAATAGCATTGCTGTCAGCCTCATTGAACACTTGTCTCACCAACCAATCATTCCAGCTCAGTCCATCAGCATGCAATAAATCTTTAACCCATATTAGATGACCTCTAGCAATTTCCAGGAGTGTGGGAGAAGCTGTTGTGAGGTTTGGGACCCAATTGAGGTCCTCAATTTTGGTGTTTGCTCCATTTCTAACCTCAACTCTCAACCATTTAGAAAAAGTTGGCATCATTTCCATCCAACAGTTCCACATCCAAGAAGCATTTGAAGTTTTGACAGCATGAATAATGGAAGTATTAGGGAAGTACCTTGCTTTGAGAATTTTGCTTACTAGGAGGTCAGGGTTCGAGGCAATCCTCCACAGTTGCTTGCATAATAGAGATTGGTTGAAGAGTTTGATATCAAGAAAACCCAGCCCACCTTGCTGTTTGGATATGGTCAATAGCTCCCATCTTTTCCAGTGAATGCTTTTCTTGTTTGGATCACCTGACTGCCACCAGAATTGTGCACAAAGTCTTGAAATTTCATTACAAAGGGATGAAGGGAGTTTAAAGCAAGACATAGAAAACACAGGGAGAGACTGAATAACTGATTTGAGGAGGACTTCTTTGCCAGCAGTACTTAAGAATTTAGATTGCCAACTCTGTAGTCTGCCTCTTACAGACTGAAGGATGTAGTCAAACACCTCTTTTTTGGACCTTCCAATACCCAAAGGTAAGCCTAAATATCTGGTGGATCTGTGAGACACAATTCCACTTAAAGCATTACAGATATTGGATTTCAGCTGTTGAGGAGTATTTCTACTGAAGAAGATTGCAGACTTTGACAAATTGACCTGCTGTCCTGAGAAGAGTTTGTACTGTTCTAATAGATTCATAAGATATGATGCTTGATCTACTCCAGCCTTGCAAAAGAAAAGGGAGTCGTCCGCAAAGAGTAAATGAGAAAGTAGGGGGCCATTCTGAGATAATTTCATTCCTTTCAGTCTGCCTCTATCAGTAGAATCCAGAACCATAGCAGACAAGAGCTCAGCAACAATTATAAAAAGGTATGGAGACAAAGGGTCCCCTTGTCTAATACCTCGAGAAGGGTTGACAAAACCTGTAACTGATCCATTTATTTTGAAGGAAAAAGATGCAGAGGAAACACAGACCATAAGCAGCTTCACAAAGTCCAAGTGAAAACCCATTTGAACCATAACCTTTTTAATGCAAATCCACTCCACTCTGTCAAAGGCCTTAACAAGATCAAGTTTCAGGGCCATGTAGAATTTGTTACCAGATGAATGCCTATTGAGAAAGTGGAATGCCTCTTGTGCAATTATAACATTGTCAAAGAGTTGTCTCCCTTTAATAAATGCAGACTGATAGGGGCTAATGCAGCAATCCAGGCACACCATAAGTCTATTAGCTAGCACCTTAGATAGGATTTTATAAACAACTGTGCATAAACTAATAGGTCGAAATTTGCTCAGAGTGTCAGGATTATCACATTTAGGAATCAAAGAAAGGATGGTGTGGTTCCAATATTTAAGCATGAGGCCAGATTGAAAGAAACTCGAGATGGCAGAAAAAAGATCATACTTGATAAGAGGCCAGAAATGTTGATAATAGTGAGCACTCATCCCATCTTCACCTGGAGTTTTATCAGGATTAAGAGAAAAAAGAGCATCATGAACCTCCTCTTCAGTAACTTGCTTGAGAAGTGCTGTGTTCATGTCATCTGTGATGGATGTGGGAATAAGGGGAATGATAGAGTCTCCACCCCAGCTGCCCTCTGAATCGAATAGCTGAGAATAGAAATCAGCAATGTGCAGTTCAATGTCCCTCTGAGTTGATATCACTCTGCCCTCAGCTGAAAGCAACCTGGAGATTGCATTTTTCCTTCTTCTTTGCAAGGTGTAGGCATGAAAAAATTTAGTGTTAGCATCACCTTCTTTGAGCCATTTGTGTCTGGATTTCTGATGCCAATAAAGCTCTTCTTGTCGATGGGCTGCATCAAGTTCTCTTTTAGTATCTTCCCACAATTGCCATTGGTCACCATTTTTATTCAGATTCAAAACTTCCAACTTTTTTGTAAGTCCATCAATCTTTGCTTGGTTCTGAGATTTAAAAGAGGAACTCCATTTAAGTAATGCTAGCCGAGTGAGCTTCACTTTTTCCTTCAGAGCATAGAATGGGGTGCCATACACTGGAGTGTTCCAAGTTTCCTTCACAAGATCCTCAAAACCTTCTTTCCCAATCCATCTTTTGTCAAAATGAAACCTTGATTTCTGCCTGGTTTTGGAAAGGCCCCAGTCAATCAAAAGAGCAGAGTGGTCAGATGAGCTTCTGATGATGTTGGTAACTGAAGCATTAGGAAAATTGATGAGCCATTCAAAAGAACCAAATGCTCTATCCAGTCTTGCTTCAATAAGCCCAGAGCCAGCTCTGTTATTACACCAAGTAAAAGGATAGCCATTCATACTGAGTTCAATCATTTCCATATGATGAATGAAGTTATTGAACCCTTGTAAACTGAGATCACTTCTGCAGATGCCACCAGACTTGTCATTGTGAGAACAAATGTCATTTCAGTCTCCAATGGAGAACCAATTTGAGCCCCATGATGATTTAGCTTGAATTAATTCTTGCCACTGTTGAGCTCTAGTGATTCTGCAGGTGCTCAAGTACACAAAAATGCCCCACTGAGGGTCTAGGTTATTAGTCTGAAAATGAACTGCCAAATAAAAAGAACTACTAATAATTTGGATTATAGAGACTTGTGGGTCCCAGAGAAGAAGAAGACCTCCACTTTGACCAGAAGGATCCACAACAGCTAATCTATCTACAAACCCGAGCTTTCTACTAACAGATTTAACAAAAGCACTCTGATTTTTAGTTTCAGAAAGGAAGCAAAAAAGAGGATGGTGAGTTCTAATTAACTCTCTGATTTGGGAAATTGTAGAGGGCCCACCCAGCCCTCTACAATTCCACACCACAGCTAACATTGGTTACTGTGGTGCCACTCGAGGCTGGCAACCCCCACCTTATCAGATGATAACTTGAATTTTTTACCGTTCACCTGGTCAGAAGAGTGATCAATTTGAGGATCAGAGTGAAGTTCTTCCTCTCTCTCTTCTCTCAACCTTTTGCCTGAAAGCTCCTGATCAGTGACTATAGGAGTGACTGGTTCTCTTTGTAGTCTGCCATCTTTGCTTCTATCCCTTTTCCATGTTCTGATAATCCCAACTGGAGTTGCTGCTATTATGCTGAGGTTATTCATAGGAGATGAAACATAAGCAGGCTCCCCAATAGCAGTTGCCTCCATATCCAAAGTTTTGGTTTGTTCCACCGAGTGTACATTTGCTTCCACAATGGGTCCTGCAGGCTCCTTAGCAGCCAAGTGAGAGTTTTGAGCCAATAAGTCCTCTTTATCTTGATGGTGGGTGCGAGAGGATTCTCCAGGTAGCACTATAAGCTGGTTACTTCCTTCCGCTCGACTTTTTGAAGATCTTGGAGAAGATTGCTGAATTGGAGAGGAAGGATTAGAGGAATTAGGGGATTTTGAACCAGATGAATTTAGATTTGCCCAATTTTGGCCCTCAGGAGCACGAAGCCAATCACCGTATTGTCCCTTTTTCAGGGATTTAGATATGAGATCTTGCTGCCTTTTAGAACAACTTCTTTCTAGGTGCCCTATAAAGCCACAATAATGACACATACTCACTAGTTTTTCATATTTAAAGCTCACTGTGTTCAGCTGATCTCCCAATCTAATCGTAGCACATCGAGGAATCGGTTCCTTTATATCAATGGAGACCAAGAGCCGCATCACAGGGCCTCCATGACCACCCGCGCCAACCACTACGACATTTTTGAGCTGTTTGAATACTGCTCCTAGTTTGACTCCAACCTCTGTACTAAGCCAGTTAAGAGGGATGTTAAAGACTTGAACCCAGAAGCTAACTTCTTGGAAAATAGGATGATTGATAGATAGCCCATCACACCACTCCGTTAGAACTAGGTATTGGTTATCGAAGCTCCAGTTTGTGCCTTTTGCTACTCTGTCTTTATCTTCTCTGCTTTGAAACAGAAATTGAAAGTAGTTGTGACCTAACTCCTTAACCTCCATAGCTTGATTAAGCCTCCAAATGTGACTCATAGCACGTTTAATACCGAACCAGCTAGCTTTCCGATCACCAATAACTTTTCCAAAAAGACTCCGTTGACAGATTTCGGCACTTGGTTTTATGTCCTCTTGAGCTATGTCTATGATCCCTGTCTCTCGTTCAGATAAAGAGAATCTGTGAAGTCGTTGAGACAGTTCGTCGTCTTGACCAATACAAGAAGAAGAACCCATGGTAATGCCAATATCCCGATACCAGTAGATCTATAAATAGAAAAGCCCCAAATCTGGAAGCCCCAAATCTGGAAAGTAGAATTCAATGAGGACTGAGTGTGTGAATCAATATCGCCGGGGATGAGGAATAGAACTAAAAACAGTGAAGAAAGTGAACAAAAGCCCGATCAATGCCAGATTATCGATCGAAAAAAGAACGCTCTCCATGAGAGAATTGGTACGCTCTCCATGAGAGAATTACATTCTTTCATATTCATTCTCCATCTTTTCTCAAAACATCCATCTCTATCCTCATTAATGAGGGTTATTATTGACAAAAAAAAATTCTTAATTACTGTGCAACTTTTCAAAACGACACTTACTAAAAAAAGGAGGGAGTACTATATATGTACTTATATATCTATATTTATATCTATATCTATATCTATATATATATTAAAAGAGGTTGATTAAAAAATTATTTATATAAACTTGATAAAAACTTGGAGTCAAAACCTTTGACTTACTTCTTTTGGAAATTTAATCTACTACTATAAAACAACAATAGAGATTTACTTTAAGTTGAAAAAAAGTTCTCGCCTAAAATTTTAGATTTTACTACAATTGATAACTTTTTTCAAATTCTTTAAAAAATTGGGAGTTGATTTGTAATTTGAATTTTAGCACCGACGTTGGATGTGGCCGAGTCTATCAATGAGTACATGACATCATTGAATTTGTTGGATGGTCGTATGTATTTGAGCTCTGACAATACATGCAAATCGGATTCTAATAATGATTTTTTGTCCGATCTCCATACGTGTGAGTTTTTAAATAGTATCAAGTGTTTTAGAATACCGAACCATGAGTTGTATTTGAAAATTGGAACTCCAGTCATGTTGTTGCGGAACATGTATCATTCTATGGGTTTGTGTAATGGGACACGATTGGTTGTGACAAAGCTATCCACTCATATTCTTGAGTGTAAGATACTCACAGGAGATCATGCTGGTGATACGGTGTTGATTCCAAGAATGGTCATAACTCCTTCTGATGTTAGAATTCCTTTCAAGTTCCAGCAGCGGCAGTTTATCATTATGGTTTCTTGCGCCATAACTATAAATAAGAGCCAGGGACAATCCTTATCTCATGTTTGCTTATTTCTTAAGAAATTAGTGTTCATTCATGGCGAAGATGACATGCCAAATAATCAAACCAATAATGTTGTATATAGGGAAATGTTCAGTAATAAATGATCTTTTCAGTTTAATTATATGTTTATATATTTATTCATATGATCATGAACTTTGCATTATTACATAATTTATATACAAAAGTGCCTTCTAAAAAACGTAAAGATAATAATTTTCCCGTGCATCGCACGGGCGATTACTAGTCAAATGGTAAAACGGTAAAACGTTAAGTCTGATAACATACAAATCAAATTCAGATGCAGGAACAGACCGATAATTCTCCTTCTCGTTAGTCGCTCCGGCCTACCGCCCAGGGTATCATCTTCCTCCGCCAGCTGCCACCATAATATCCACAATCGCCTCCAACAAACACCCTCCCAGCTCCCCTGATACCTCTGTCAAAGCTCTCCATCTCTTATCAACTCATGAGTATCCACCTTCACCGTGGAAATGTTCGTTCTAACCAGGAATCAGCTCCATCGTTTTCACTCCACTAAAACCCTAATTTATGACGCTTTCAGTTCAGCCCTCCCCCAAACTAGTGTTTCTCCCTTAACCACACCCCAGCGTCACTCGAATTCATCATATTCGTTCAATTCCTCAGCAGTCCTGTTTCAGTTGCTCGCTAAGAAATTTGTAAATGCAACCATCCCCACACGATCGTGGGTTTCGTTCTATTCAACAAGAATATACAGAGGACCCATCTCGAGATCTCTGAGAAAGAGGATCAATAAAAGAGCCCGAGCTGCCGCAAAACCTGTTCTGGATGAATCGCTTTTTCAGAAACTTATATCCCAACTTCCACCAAGATTCACTCCCGAGGAGCTTCACGATGTGATGACGTTGCAAGACGATCCCTTGGTGTGTTTGGAGCTATTTAATTGGGCATCTCAACAGCACAGGTTTAGACACAACGTGCTCACATATCATGTGGCAATCAAGAAACTCGGAGCAGCCAAAATGTACAAGGAGATGGATGATATTGTTAATCAGGTTCTAGCTATTCCTTCAATTGCTTCAGAGGCTCTGTATAATACTATGATATATTATTTCACCGAAGCTAGGAAATTGATTAGGGCTGTGAACATATATAGACATATGTGTGGTTTGAGGAAATTGGACTGCAGGCCGACCATAAGGACCTATAATATACTATTTGCTGCACTTTTGAGCCGGGGGAAGAATTCGTATATCAATCACGTGTACATGGAGACTATACGACTTTTGTTCAGGCAAATGATTGATGATGGAGTTGAGCCGGATATCTTCTGCTTGAATTGTATGATCAAAGGATATGTGATTTCACTTCATGTGAATGATGCTCTCAACATTTTCCATCAGATTGGGGTGGTTTATAATTGCCAGCCCAATTCATATTCGTTCAATTACTTGATCCACGGGTTGTGCGCCCAAGGCCGGACTAGAAATGCTATGGAGATTTGTGATAGAATGAAGGAAAAAGGGTTTGTGCCAAGTAGTAAATCATATAACTCGCTCGTGAATGCTTTGGTTCTCGGGGGAAAGGTTGATGAAGCTGTGAAATTCTTGGAGGAGATGGTTGAAAACCAAAGGATAGCGGATTTCATCACTTATCGCACATTGCTGGATGAAATATCCCGGCGAAAAGGGAATGGAGAAGCTTTTAAGGTGTTGGAGGATTTGAGAGAAAAGAATTTTGTGGATGGAAATGATTACCGAGAGCTTCTGTATGAACTGGAAGATAAAAGTCCAAATTCAAACAGCATAAGAAGACTCGGGTAATTTTCTTTTTCTTTTTTCAATTTTTTGCATCAAACCTTATTTCCTGTCTGTGGTAGTTCTCTAGTCCTCGATCTTCACAACTTTTCTTTAAAAGATGCATGATTCGGTTTTAAATGGTCCATACTCTTGGCTGGTATTCGGTTGAACACATATCCCGCTAGTAATACCATTGTTTTTGTGGAGACATGATCAAATGTATTTTGCTTTGCTTATTTGTAATGAATTCACCTATTCTTCCTTTCGTTTACGAGAATGATAATTGATCTTAACCAATCTGGTGTTACTTATCGATGAATTCATGCAATACATTTAAATGAAAAAAAATATGAGATTGGCACATTCATGATGCTAAGGCCCATTTCATTCAGATTCAAATTATTTTCTCCAACTTCTTTTGTGAATTTATAATACTTGTCTTATATAACTTAACATCAACGATTCCATATGTTTCAGCTAAAGAAATACAAATCTTTGGGTATGACATAGAACTCGAACTGAAGATGTCAAACTTGTACTCCATATCAGAAGTTGATATGCAGAACTGGGCACAATTTGTGACACAGAAGTCCTGTTGTCGAGAGGATGGTGATTCCCCATTATTTTGTTGGCCATGAGTATTCTTCCTATTTATTAGATGTACTTTTCTTTAAAAATAATCTTTTTGCTCATAATATGTTCTACATCGTGGGAGGATATATCAGAATCGATTGTTTTGTCATTTAATTTGAACTCCTTTTTGGTGTTCGGTACGGAGAAGTGGTGAAAAGGCTTATGGATCACAAATGATTGCATGCCTTTCTCCACAGATTGCACCTTTTTAGAGTCCACAATTGGAACAGATGAAAAACAATCACACGAGTTATAGTATTTGGTCCCGGAAGAATGACGATTGTGCAAAATTACAAGGATCAATCAAATTCTGCAGACGTTCTAGGTCAGCGGAGGCTCTCGACTCACGTAAACTTTATTCAGTACATTGAAGTGCCATTGATACAAAGGTCCGCAGTAGGTGTAGTGGTTGATTAATAATTTACATTTCCTGAATATATTGTTGAAATCCTCATCTACATTTCTTTTCTTTTTGTAATTGAAATTATTCTTGTGTATTTGACTAGCCTTGTTTTAATGACGTTACTTGGTGCATTTGATGTTGAACATCTGAATTTGATTACTTGGTAGTTCTGTTCACTTTCATCTCTGACGCAGTTCAATTTTATGCAAATGTACTGGTACTTATTTGCTAATCAAAATCAAGTAGAATGCCAGCATATTCTAGAATTGCATTTGTGTAGTGAAGAGATAACATATCAAGGCTGAGTACCTTTGGTGAATTTATTTTCATTTAGCATCTCAAGGCAAGTTGGCTATGATAGGTTAGGAGGTATGAAGATTTATGATAAGCTGCGGGATAATTTTGTTGGAAAGAAAGTATTTCAGAGACCTAGATGTTAGGGGTCTGGTCAAAATAAATGAAGTAAACCATAGCTGAAAGGAGATTGCAGTGACAAAGCTCAGCTTATGAAATTGAGAATATGCAAAGTGGGGAAACTTAACAGACTGGCCTGATGATTTTCTGTGACATTCTAGGATACCAATTGAAAATCTCTTTCAGATAACATTCTAGGAAAAGTTTTCTGATGTGTCATAAGATCTCATTGTCTTGCTTGGTCAATAGCATGGTTTTATGTTATGAAACATTTTCCTTCTATTTGCACATTATTTATTTGCTTGGTTGGTGTTTACTTGACTGGACTAAACTATTGATAGGAATGTTTTTTTATGCACATGAATTTCTGACTAGATTCCACAAGAAATGATCAATGACATAAAATTATGAGTAGAACGTATATGATGTAAAATGTGAGTCTTCCCATCATATTAAGTCATTTATTGATTCATAAAAGCAATCATGAGATCATAAGTTTTGTTTCCAAAGCCCATGGAAAATGACTTGGCATATGTGGAGCTTTATGCTCTAAAGTCTAAACTCTTCGAGAAAATATTCCTCTTAGTGTGAAATTCACAAGATTTGCAGTCTTGTAAAGTTTAAGTAGCTGTAAGACCTGAACTTAGCATCCTCACAAGAAAATATAAATGCTTTATGTGCTATGAAGTGTTGTATGAGAAACACTCCAGAAAACAAGTATTAATTGTTTGTAAAAAAAGGAAGCGTGGGAAGGAACTCTCTAGATGCTAATTGATTTTATATAGAAAAAGAGCAGCTTCCGGAAACCAGGAAGATACTTGGTTAGTTTCATGCAACTGTGATGAAAAAAATTTATGCCAGGTGAGCTTATTTATGTTTTTATGAACTTATGGTGTTCCTCCTTTATCTGGTTATGACTGAGCTGTATACATGGAATCCTTGTTTTAGCTGTAACTTGTCTATATTACTCGTGTCTGTGTTAAGTGTAGTTGGATGAGAATGATGCTTCTTGTAAGGTTATCGTGTGCAAGCATTACTTCATTTTAATGCTCATTGGATGAGATATGGAGTGATGTATGGGACAAGGAGGATGTAAAGGTTCATCATTTTTTCATTGGTTTAGAATTTTAGATGGCCGTATGTATGGCCCAGCACATTCACATGTTTTAGCCCTTGATCCCATGTTGAATCTCAATCGGGTTTATGCTATGACTATTCGGGAGGAACGAATGCGAACAACTATTCATGAGCAAATCCCAATCGAGACTCCGAGCTTTGCTACTGGATATTTGGCTAGTTTTCTTAAAGAACCAAGCTGTGCTTGGCTCGTTTTCAGTGCTTTTGACGACAATCATAAAAATTCATCCCAATTGCCAACTTTTATTAATTTCATGTCCAATGCGTGAGGGCTTGCTTTTATGAAGAGGTTAATAGCATATAATGTTAACAAGTTCACTTTCTAATATCCAACACCATAAACATAAAGATAATTTAAATCAAATTTTAAGACTTCAACATTCAGCCTGTACGAATTAATATTACAATGTTAAAATCAAGACCTTTCCAAACCCCATCTCTAACATTCATATTTAAGTTACAACCGATTCGCTTCTAACAAACAGCTTGCACATACATAAGGCACAAATCAACTTGTATAAGTATATAATAACGATATTCATTTTTTTCTTCTTCTTCTTCTTCTTTTTACTTTTCACCTTTCATCCTTGTCTGTAAATTTGTAGGAGGCGTAGGAAAGCGTCTGGTAGCTCCAGCTGTGGTGGACGAGGTAGCCCCTGGTGTTCTCCCCTGCGGCCCCCATGGCCACGTGGAGCGGATAAAAATGATCGGGCCTCGGGTGGGCCACCCTCGCGTGCGGCGCTTTGGCCTCGTAATCGTTCACATCCGCGTACCTCCCCTCCTCCAGGGCCGCCTTGATCCAGCTGTCGAACTCCTCGGCCCAGCCCAACACCCCGCCTCCGGCCCGGCCCATCTTCCTGAGATTGTGGGTCGCGGCCCCTGACCCGACTATGAGGACTCCCTCGTCCTTGAGCGGCGCCAGCGCCTGCCCGACCCGGTAGTGGTGGGCGGCGTCCCGGTGGGTCTGGACGGACAGCTGGCACACGGGGATGTCCGCCGCCGGGTACATCAGCATCAGCGGGACCCACGCGCCGTGGTCCAGCCCGCGCCTCCGGTCCACGTGGACCGGCCCGATCCCGGATCCCTCGAGGAGCTGCTTCACCTTGGCGCCCAGCTGGGGTGACCCCGGGGCCGGGTACCGGAGATCGTACATCTGGTCCGGGAAGCCGTAGAAATCGTGGATTGTCTCGCTAGGGCCAGAGACGGCATTGACCGTGGGCTCGGAGGTCTCCCAGTGGCCGGAGACGATGAGGATGGCGGCGGGGCGGTCGCTGAGGACTTTTTGTTGGAAGGATTTGAGGAAATGTCGGGCAGGGAGAGAATCGTCTATGGAGAGCGTAGGTGAGCCGTGGGAGATGTAGAAGGTGTCCTTGATTTTGGGAGCGGCGGCCATTGAAGGGGAAGGAATGTTGTGTGGATGGGATGTTTTGAGGGAGAAATTGAGGATTATGCAGAGGAAAAGAGAGGCGATGGAGTATATGAAGAAGAGGGATTTGTTGGTGTGCATTCCGTGGGTTTCTGCAGAAACGTTGCAGCTTCACCAACCCCTCACGACGATGTTGACTTTTTTTTGGTGGGGCTCCGTTGCGTAGCAGCTAAGCTTTTTTTCTCTATCCTTAAATTAACAATTTCCTGACCGACTAATATACTATACTCACAATTCTGGCAAAGACTGAATCCAAAAATTAAGAGTAGACTGAACTAAAATTTTAAATACTCGTTCTCTAAAAAATCACATAATCTCGACCAACTCTTACAAAATAAAATTCTTCAAAAGTTGGTGCTCTATGTGGATTTCTGAAATATTTCACAATACCAGTGTTTTGAGACCCGGGCCGGCCCGACGGGTCGACCCGGGACCCCGTCGACCCGGAGCCGGAACCGGTCCGGGTGGAGTATTTGGACCGGACAACCAAGGACCCGGTCAAACCCGGTCAATACCCGGCCGACCCGGCAGAGACCCGGCCGAGGCATTGACCCGGCCGGGTCAACCGGGTTGACCCGGTCCATATATATTTTTTATATTTTTTTTTTTATTTTTTAAAAATAAAAATATGTATATATGTTTATATGGTAAATATTTATCATGAAATACATATTATTAACACTTTAATATACAAATTTTATACACAAAATATTTAATTTGTTATTTTTATGTATATTTATATAACAAAAATACTCTATATATAATTTTGAAAAATTTTAAATTAATTATCCGGTTCAGCAATTGACCCGGTGACCCGACGGTTGAACCGGTGACCCGGTGACCCGAGGACCTGCCCGGGTCGATCACCGGGCCGGGTTTAAAAACTATGCACAATACCAATAAAATGATTTTTCATATGACATAGTTACTAGCAAAATGAAATGCTTAATTGCTTACACATCATACATATAAATCCAAATATGATATACAACAACTATTAAAATTGCAAAAATTGCAATCAAATGATCCTAGAAATTACTATTAAAATTGTAATAAAATGATCCTAGCAATTACTATTAAAATTCTAAATAGCTCAACTGAAATGAAGAGGTAAATAAATACGATTTCATAAATAGAACAAATATCTAAATTCTAAAAGAGGTTTAAAAATATAACTTACCCTTAAATAAAAAATTAAATTGTCATGGATGGGACCACAGGGGTATTCAGACTTTATAGAGGGGTTTTATTGGTGTTTGTGTATTGTGGTGTTTTGTAATTTGTGGGTTAGTGGAAAGGATGGACCACCCATATAATATTTTATTAGAGAATAGAGAGTGGTGTTCGGATTTATGATGATTTATTTTAGTGGATTAATTGATTGGTTTATTGGCAGGGGCGAAACCAGAAAATTAGTTGAGAAGGGGCAAAAGACATGATATAATAGGTTCAGAACCGAACCCAAATAGGTTCAGAACCGTAACATTTCGGTAACCGATTTTCGGTTACCGTTACACATAAGTCGGTTAGATTCGGTTTATTTTCTCATCGGTTTGGTTCAGTTCGGTTCAATTTTCGGTATTCGGTCAAAAAATACCAGGAGTTAAAGTCTTTTATATGGGCCAATTAAAGAATGATAAAAGTTAATATACAAAATCTATATATATATAATTGCTGACAAACTTCAATAAATTTTATTCAACCAGCATTTAATAATAATATGAGTTCATTTAATAAAAATAGGTGTTCATTTAATAAAAATATGTTCACCATTTAATAATAACATGTAACTTTCAGTTACACAATTTATTTTGACAGATCCCATTTTTTATGGTGCCAATTTATGTAACGTCTTTTCATGTCCTCAAATACAAAATATTTTTCTTTTTATATTTGAAACTATATATTTTTTAGTATTATATAAATATATATTTCACAATTAATTAAGAATAACTCCAAATATCCCTATTTTCTATGTTTTCATACAATAATGAAAAAATATTTTTTGGGATATTAAAAAAATATATCAAATATTTTGAAAAATTAAATTTCAGAGTAACGAGTCGAAGAGGTTTAACCATAATAATTTGCTGTGATTGGGAGTTTGACGATAGGAAAACCACGATTGTTGCATATAAAGGAGTGTTTATTAATATTTAGATTGTTTTTTTAAGTTATTTTTTTTCTGTATGATTTTTATTTTTTCTATATTTTTAATTACTTTCCCATTTATTATATCGCTTTTCGTGCAAATGCATGGGGGTAAAACTAGTTAATAGTAAAATAAAAGAAGTGTTGAATTGTTAATTGAAAATTGTGGACAAATTGGCTGGTGAGTAACATTTAAAAACAAAAAATCTGGGGGTGCAATAATAAATTTAAAAGGGCGGCAAATTAAATTTTTTAATAGTAATAACAAAAAATTTGAAGGGGAATTCGCCCTTATTTATTGGGTGGGCTAGGGATAGAATAAAAAAACAAAAATCAAGTCTATTAACAGGCCTGGGCTTTAGCCCAACTTAGGCCAAGTGTAAATTTGCCCCTGATTCTGCTTATTTTTACTTTTTAAATAATTCACTTTTATAACTTGAGAATTTGATGGTGTGAAGAAAGACATAGCTGATAATATTTTCATTTTAGCAGACTTAGCTTTATCTTGTTCTTTTCAGATTTCTTGTATGGAATTTTCTTGTGTGGCTTCTTCTTTAGCCCTTGAGGCAGATTCAAATTGTCATAGCCATGAATGGCAGTGCTAATGCTTAGTTGTAAGGATCTCTTACTGCTATGCCTTCTTGTGATCAGTGGATCACCATTTGTAAGACGTCTTTCTCAGTTTTATGCGTGAAATTTATCTATCGTTTGAAAAGAAAAAAAAAAGAAACTTGAGAATTTGGCGTGGTTAAAGTCACAAATTTCAATATAATATATAACTACATTCAAAATTGTCATANTTAAAAAAAAAAAAACACCACAACGTTATCAAAAACACACTTTCAAAACGCTTGTCACTGTTCTCTAAAATATTTCAGTAGAAAAAATTATAAATATGTTCGTAAAACATATCTCAAACAATGAAAAGCTAAACCAAAGATTCGGACATTCGGACACAAATTTTGTCAAACGAATTCATAATAAAACATCTTAACGAGTCTAAAGAAAAAATATCCAATGAGTAGTAGAAAGAATATCGAGCTTAGAAGAAAAAAAATATCCAATTAGTAGTAGAAAGAATATCGAGCCTTAATAATTTTCTGAACAATTATTTATTTATACTGTCACATTCCTTTCCAAGTAAAAAATTTGTTCAAAATAGGACTCATTAATTAAAATAAAATCATACCATAGACAAATATTATTTTCTAAATATTCTACTATATCTCAAAAAAAATAAAAATAAAAAAATAAAAAATATTAAATATTATTTGTAAAAAACCATACTCAACAATCTCCCCTTTTTGCTATTATGAACAGAACAAAATACATGAGAAGAAAACAATAAATTCAATAACTCCTCCTAAATTAAACACTCTCTCTAAGTAGATATTAAAAGAAATAACAAAGAGTAAAGAGCGCAAGGCTCGATGACGAGACGAGAAGGGTCATATACAACTACTATCTTGCGAGTACCAACACTTTAAACTTCTCATCATCTCCCCCTATGTGTTCATAAAGCATCGTCTGAAGAGACATGGTAACCACGGAGGAAGACTTTCCCTCAATACGAGAGTTTAAGGGGTGATAATTTATGGGTGGTACTATTTACCGCACCCCATTTTACTACTCACTGCCCCTCTTGGACGATTTTGCCCTTTTCATTTTTTCTAAACGTCTCAGAGGAAAGTGTACGGTGAAATGTCGTCAAATTTGGAAGTACGAAAATTTTTGTGTCCGGCCGCCGGAACCGGACGGATTTTAAGCCGTCCGGCCGGCAGGTTCGGACGGGCTAAAAGTCGTCCGAAAAGTTCGACCGGTCGGACAGCTTAAAAGCCGTCCGAAAACGACGGCCGGCCGGATAATTTTTTATTTTTTTTTTTAAAATTATTATGTTATATATTCAAAATAATTATGTTATAAATTGGACTATATTATTATGTTATAAATTATTATGTTACATTTTAGACTTGATTATGCTATGAATTAGACGTTTATCGTGTTAGGAGTTACAAATTATTATGTTACATGTTGATTATAATATAAATTGGACGTTAGATATTATCGAGTTACTAGTTAGAAATTATTATATTACATGTTAGTCTTGCTTATGTTATAAATTGACGTTAGATAGTATCGTGTTAGGAGTAACAAATTATTATGTTACATGTTATAGTTGATTATATTATAAATTGGACGTTAAATATTATCGTGTTCGTGTTAGGAGTTATAAATTATTGTGTTACATGTTAGACTTCATTATGCTATAAATTGGACGTTAGATAATATCATGTTATGAGTTACAAATTATTATGTTACATGCTAGAATTAATTATCTTAATTTTACATGTTCTAAAAATATAAATATTGTACTATATAGCAGGAGTCATGGGAAGATTTTGGAGGAGATGGTGTTGATTACAGTCTGCGTTTCGATACCTGTACATTATATAATAGTGCTCAGGACGCTATTGAAGCTGCAAAACACCAGGCAATGCTGAATGGTTTCCTATTAATAATTTCGAGCCACAAAAAGAAAACGGTCAGGCTTTTGAAGTGCCATAGAGGCGAACGGTACAGAGGCGCAGACGGAAATTCTAGAAAGACAAAAACGAATAAGTGCGGCTGCAATTTTGAGATCAAAGGAAAAAAGGTGTCCTCCATACTGGAGGATCTGTAGATGTAGCAATGAAGAGAAGGGCTACCATAACCATACATATGCTGTGTATCTTGAGGGTCATCGTCAGTTGAGCGGCCTCAGCGCTTCATCTAAGAAAATTGTTCGTGATATGACGGACGCTCAGGTGGCCCCGGCAAAAATTATGGCCGCGCTGAAGGAAAAGAATCCGGGAGACAACGTTCATGTGCGACAGGTATATATATTTATATCTTGTAATATATGTTTTAATTAACTTTTTGAAGTTAATTATGATAATTAGTAATTTTTTTATATGTAAAAGTTATTGTAATAATTAATAAATTTTATTATATTTACTAATGTATTATTATTGTGAT